TATCCTTATCTTATTTTATCTTATCCTTATCTAATTTTATCTTATCCTTATCTTATTTTATCTTATCCTTATCTTATTTTATCTTATCCTTATCTTATTTTATTATTATCCTTATCTTATTTGATCTTATCCTTATCTTATTTTATCTTATCCTTATCTTATTTTATCTTATCCTTATCTTATTTTATCTTATCCTTATCTTATCTTATTATTATCCTTATCTTATTATATTTTTATTCTTATCCTTAATCTTATTCTGTTCCTATATTTTACACAGTTTATATTGGAGGGGAGTAAATTTACTGCATTGTAATTTGACTTATTTTACACCGTCTAATTATGTCATTTTGCATATTTTGCTAACAATCCTATTTTTCTCTCTTCTGTATACAGTTGCACTGCAAGAATATAATTAATTTAGTAATTCTGATTCTGATTAAAAGTAAAAAAAAAACATTCAATAACTTCATTGCTAATAAAACAGAACTTTTCTGCAACGTGAAAAAACCTTTAGGATTTAGTTTGAAGCTACACACTTTGTTGGATATTGTGTTAAATGAAACATAAATATAGGAAACTAAGTTCATTCCAGGAAGATTTAGTCGTTATTTTGCCCTGAACTGGATGGAGTCCTCCTCTTTTACCTCCTGGTGAGTCTCTAAATGCCACCTTTGTTTTTGTGTTTTTTTATTTATTTTCCTCTCTCTGATAGGATGAAGGATGTCATCTTTTTATTCACTTTAACCTAAAATCCTATGTAAATATAATATTTTCTGCTGGTGTGTTTAAATGTTTTGTTATAAACCTTTAAAGGCATGTTTCATATCTCCAGTGATCATAACTTAAACACATGATTACATGAGCAGCAAGGAGGATAGGATTGTAAATATGACTATAAAACAGCACTGACTATATTTAAAAATAATGCTGGACTTCAGTCACCGTTAGATTTTATATTACAAACAGGTTAGTTAGTTTCACACCATGATTGATAGTTCAGCATCTTGAGGAATGATTTAGGGGTAAATCTTTGAAAACAGGTACCGAGTTGGACGATCAGCAGCAATTGTCACAACTCTGCAGTTTGCTTTTTTCAGAGCAAAGGTCTGTTTTCAAAATTGCTGAAGTGCTTGTTGGTACTTTTGTATACGGCTTTACCTTTAGGAATACAAAGTATTATGACAAGCACTTTACTTGCAGCAAAAATGCAGAAAACATAAAGGATCCTCTGCAAAAACATCTGTTTGATTATGTGCATGCAGAGGGCCTGGGTTGATTAGGATAGGAGGGGAGAGTAATACACTTTGTACTTACCTCCCTTCCCTGTGCATAATATTGCACGCCAACCAAATAAACCATTGAAGTAAAAAGCAGAAAGGAAGTCAATCAAATTTACTGTAGTTCTGAATCCAAGAAATAATCTAATTTATGATGAAACACATTTTCTATGTGATATGTATCCTTACACTTCACACATGATGTTAAAATGGGTGAACAGTTCTCAAAATAAGTTTATTTACCCTTCATTTGTATTTTTAGCCTTAAAATAAGATAACTAAATACTATGAACTTAATATAACAGATTGCTATTTTTTTTTTGTTTGTTTATGTGAATAATGTGGTCATCATTCATCGGCAAAATGTCTCTATTAATTTCTCAATTCAAGAAAAAAAAGCACTTATTTTAGGAGAAATATGACAGATTTCTATTTTTTGCAGTGTGGCTTTTATGCTGTTATTGTACAGCAATATAGTCGCTTTTAAAAATAGATATACTCTCTCAAAAATGCAAACTGTAGTCCCAATTCACTATCAGTCTGTAAACTGGTTTTATTTTATTTTTGTAGTGATCCTTTGTAAATTTAGTCAAATGTACAGCAAAGTTTGGGTCAAAATTCCCCTCGAGTGATTTAAAGGATTCATTGTCAGTCATGCTTGATGGCAGCTGTCGCTGCCAGGAAGACGAGGTTTGCAAGTATGTATTTCCCCACAGAGCCTGGTTATGCATTTACTTCCACTACAAAAACAGTGTAGAAATATAGGAATGCATGATATCGGGATTTTAGCCGATATCCGATATTTTAAAACTCATGTAG